TCTATCCGTGGATCGTGTTTTCCGTCAACACGGACTCCCAGAGTCGATTGTATCTGATAGAGATCCCGTTTCACGGGAAAATGTTGGTCGAATATCTTCAAGGTGCTCGGCACCAAGTTGGATATGTCGACAGCGGATCAGCCGCAGACCGATGGTCTAACCGAAAGGGTGAATCGCGTTATCGAAGACATTCTTCGCAGCGTCTGCGCTGAGACGCCGAGGCGATGGATCGCCATGTTGTCACTCGTAGAGCTTGCACTGCATTCGTCTACCAGCTACACGCCGTTCTACTGAACGAACTGTTTCACCCTCGCGTCCCGCTGACGCCGCCATCCCATGGCTCAGGGCTTGGTGGGGAGGAATAGCCGAACGGCTAGCTGATGTCAGCCATCTCACCATCCGTAAAGAAGTCGATGACTTCTTTACGACCAGACCGAGTGTCCTACAACATGTTCGCGATGCGATGGGTGAAAGTTAAGTCCTGTAGAAAGAATATGCAGATGAAAAAGATTGCTGCAAAGTAGAAAGCTTGAAGTCGGGGTCCTGCCTACACATGCAGCCGCTGCTATCCTCAGGACGGAGCTTCGTGCACGGTTCATCGGACCGTTTAAGGTTGTGACCAAGCGGGGCCTAGCGTATACGCTGAACTTTCCAACACGGAAGCGCACCCCCCGGTGTTTAACGTGGGCTTGCTCAATCCGTACCGGGATCCGGAGCAAGTGAACGCGGAAGCGTTGGCGCCGGAGCGTATCCCACGAGCCCTCGGCCACCCAGAAGCTGAACCAGCAACTTGTTCTCAGCACGGAGTGCAACAACCTCCATTTCTAATGGCGCCAAGCGCCCCACCGTCCCATGCAGCGACGCATTTGCCTGCTCCACGGCTTAGAGTCGCTCCGACAGAGCGCGGTAGTCCTCAAGATGAGGCAGCCGGCACACGACGCGCTCCAAATCATCATGAGCGTCTGCACAGCGATATGCTACTTCGGCATGACGCTCAGCGGAGCTTTGATCACGAAGGACCTCGAATTCAAGGGCTCGAAGAGAATCACGAGTCACCGGACGACCGTCACCGCCCGCCACCGACTCTTCTCGATGAGAACTGTGACGTCCACTATCACGTGAGACGTCTAGTGAGACGACGTCGTCACCAGGGTCAAACCGAATATCTGATGAAGTGACGGGGATATCCCGACTCCGAAAACTAGTGGGAGCTTGAGGCGCCACTTTCGCAAGATTGCCCAGACGCCGTGGACGATTTTGATTAGAAAGATCAGGACGCCCCGCGCTTCCCGACAATAGCCAGGGATGTAGAAGGTCCATGAGCTGAGCTCAAGCAGTGGTCCTGAGCTCTTGCGGTCGCAGACACAAAGCTCGCGAGAGCGTTAGGGGTTAACCCATACGTCGCAGGGCGACAATCCGAAGGATGTCGACGGCGTGCCTTGAGTTTGGCCGACTCAAATCGGAGGTGTAGCTACACACGCACGTCCATTTCCTTGTGGCTCAACTGTAAGTTATACAGTGAGAAAAACTTCCGCTGCCGTTGCACCCATCGCTCAAAGAACGCTTCGTCATCTTTAGCGATTTCGTCTTGGACGAGGACTACAGGTATTGTCCGTATTGCGGGTACACGAGAGCCACCTCGTTGAGCACTCAAACGGGTGCGATAAGCTTCCAACGGGAATTCCTGTGGAACCAAGAAACGAGCTCGAAGTTGGCAAGCTAACATTCCGTTCTGACCGGGGGCCCGATGATGTGGACGCGTAACGATTGAGTTACCGCGTTATTCGCTTCCACAGCGGGATCCGCTGGCGGAAGCCATATTCCACACGAGGCTCAATGACCGGCCGTGGATGGGCGCGCATCAGAGCGGCCTTACGGGCTGCTGTAAGCTGCCGCCTCGGCGCCCCGTTTGAGGTCATTAGTGATTACACCACGTCCCTCAGGTGACGAGAGTCGGGAAACGGACATGGGGTCCACAAGGCGCGAGCAGGGCTCGTCTCACGCAGCTGGCGCAGCACGTCTTCCTCGTCATTCCACCCGGGATAAGTAGTGCCAGACTCATGGTCGACCACCTCCACATCTTCAACGAGGTCACTCGTCACTGATGGCGTGCGCGAAGCGCAACGCTCGTGCTCATCGAGCCTAGGATGTACATCCCTCGGTGCCGCGGACGCATTGTCCGACATTGCACCGCATGCGGGAGACGAAGTTGGGTTTTGCCCGTGTTCGCTGTCAAAACCAGCGAGACTTGGTGACTTCAGTGTCGTTGACACAGGGCTCATTGAGCACAGAAGTCGTTTTAGTCCAACGAACCAAGTTGCAGTGTCTAGCAGACACGCGAGCCTCGTTGAGGCAATAATC